GTAACAACTCGTTCACTTGCTTCTTGAGCTCCTCATGCTCAGTAGGGTTCATTCGGTAGTGGGGGAGATTTGGCAAAGAGGCTCCAGGTACTAAGTCAATAGCGTGTTGAATGTCCCTTAGAGGTGGCAGTTGGTAGGGCAAATTTTTAGGGAAGACACAGAAAAAGTTTCCAAAAGTAGTCTTACTTCCTCAGGGATTGGTTCTTCTTGATCTATACTTACCTCCCGGGCTACTAATGCGTAAAGAGAGGCTCCCGACTCTAGTTCCATACCTAGGTCTTTAGCAGTTAATAAGTTCAAGCCCGTGTTGAGTTTCAGGGAGTTGGGCTTAATTTCTTCCTTGGTAGACTTAGGTTGAGTGGGTAAGAGTTTAATCTTCTTGCTCTCGTGTTCAAACACACAGGTGTTTGATTGGCCATAAATGTGTACATCATTGTCGAACAATCAAGGGCGGCTGAGGATGATTTGACCCACATCCATTGTCAAAACATCGCACCAGATTTTCTTTTTATATCCAATGAATTCAATAGGAACGAGACTCCTATCTTTCACCTCTAAGGTGGTCGAGTTAATCCAGGTGACTTTGTAGGGGTTCAGATGTGGTGTGGTCCTCAATTGAAGTTTCGAAATCATGGCAGAAGATACGACGTTAATACAACTTCCACTGTCTATTATGACCTTGCAATTTTTGTCTCCAATCTTAGTGAAAGTATAGAAGATCGAGGTCCTTCGCCAGTCGTCGCTAGGTTTAGGTTGTGAGAAGGCAAACCTGACCACTTGCAGATCCAAGCGAATCATCTTTTGGAGGCAGTGGACCACAGCAGTATCCTCGTCGAAAAATTCCTCATCGTCGTCCATATGGTGGACTAAGTCAGTTTCAGGTTCATCCTCTACCTCCGTCACTTCTTCAATTATTGTGACCTTAAACAGGCTGGAGCACTGAGAAGCAATGTGTCCGTACCCATGGCATCTAAAACACTTAGTGCCAGCAGTGGTTTTGGGTAGCTCCCGTTCAGGTGTTTTCCCTTTATAGTTTGATTGAGGTTGGGCTTGGTTAGGGGAAGGCCGACTACCTGAGGGTCCAGTGGGTTTGTTGTAAGGTTGGATGGTGGAAGACTTGAATGGTTTGGTTCTAGAGTCTTGAGTCCTAGTGGCGTGGCTCCTAGACTCTTCCAAGTCTAGTACAAGATTATAGGCAGCTTCATACGTATTCACTCCTCTAGCAAAGAGTTCATTTCTAAGTTCTTCCCTCAATCCGGCTCTGAACATTGACAGAAGTTGTGTAGGAGTGGTGGTCTCCTCCCCGTTACAACGAATCAAGAAATCATCGAAGGTTGATATGTATTCCTTAACGGTTTTACTTCCTTGAGTTAACCTATTCCAACGATCTAAGAGTCTGGGATAGTAAGAGGGAGGGAGATATTTTCTTTTTAGTTCTTGCTTCATCGTTTCCCAGTCAGCTATGGGATATTCTCCTCGAGTCTCCCTCATGTGTTCTACATTAGTCTAGTATTGGTTGGCTCTACCAGTCAACTTCATCTCAGTAAATCTAACCTTCTTCTCTTTAGAAATATTATACCACTTGAAATAGCTATCCATTCATTTGAGCCAATCAAGAAAAACTTGGGGTTCTAACGTACCATCAAACGTCGGGGCATCTACCTTAATACTCTTAAGGAATTGCATATCGTTGTCCCTCCATGGTGCGTCACGTCCTACCTGTTCTTGATGGGGTCGGTGATTGGGTCGGTAGTAGTCTCTAGGAGGTCCGTACTCAGTTCTGGCATCTTCACCATAAGGAGATTGGGGTCTAGATGGGGTGTAGATAGCCGGGTGTCCTATTCTTTCAATGTTGTCTAGTCTTTCTCCCGTATGACGCTTAAGCTCTGCTAAACTCATTTGGGTATCCTTCATTTGTTGCGTAAGTGACCTAATTGGCCCATAATCATGTCTAAGGTCGCTTGCATATGTGTGGGATCCATGGTTGAGTGCTAGGGGACACTAAGGAGGGCTTCTAAAGCAAGGGCAGCACCTAAACATTGACTTTAGGTTCACTAACGGATGCTTAATAGCTGCAGGAAAAGAGTGGACAGCAAAAGAACACTACCTAAAACTCACTCTAATGGCTATACTAAGTGCAGAAAATTAGTGGGCAGCAAATGTCTAAGTGGCCTAGACTATTATGGATGTCAAAGTGAGGATGGCGGCACTTAAACAAATGGTTATACTAATGAAAGATGAAGTAACCGATGTAGAACATTCTGGACAGCAGTAGGAAAACAGTAAATAAAACTACCTAAATGATGATATGCATGCAAACAACTACGGACAAGTTAAAATAGATTCCTAGGATGCATCTAGCAAAGGTGAAGCATGCTAGCCATGCTCTGATACCAAATGATGTGATACATTCAAGAATTGCACGTGAAATTCATTAAGAATCACAAAGTATAAGAGTGTAAGATTATAGTATCGTAAGTTAAGGTTCAAGAGTTTTCCATTGTTAAAATGTTATGATAAACGATTACAAACTAGTTGTTTGAACACAATTAGCGATAGATCTCGAAGTTATCACAATAAAGCAAATGCGGAATAAAATAGAATCCCACGGCTAATATTTAGAAATTTCGCAATGAGTTACCTTGCTCACTCACACTCAAGTGGGGCTTAGCGGGAGAAAGTCTTTAGCAAACCCAACGATGCCACGAGGATGGTAGCAAACGCAATGGCCTTGAATCACGGAAGGTTGACGGTGGCGAGGACGGCAGGAACGATCGGCTGTTGATGTTCCATTCATAGCTTGGGCTTCGGCGGTCAATGACGTCCGCAAGAAACGGCACAACTCGTTCCAAGTACAATTCAATGGTAGAGTCGTCTTCAAATCCCACGTAAAAGAATGGGGATCGTAGGATATTAAGGCTTCCGTCGGCGTTGAATACTAATCCCCACTCAAACTCCTGGTCCGCCATACATGCTTGATGTTGTAGAATCCTTCAAGGAGAAGAGGATTAAGTGGCGGTGAGGGGGAGTCCTTGCGTTGGAAGGAGGAGGAGGAGGAGGGAGGAGCCGACGGGATTTCCAAGGAGAAGGGGGAGTTCGGCCAAGGTGAGAGTGAGGGGCGAGTGCAATGAGAGAGGGGATCTAGGTTAGATGAGTGTAGCAAGATAATTACTCAAATCTGAAATTAATCTCAGATTTTAGTAAATTTGGAGGGAATTATTTGAGACTAATTTCAAATGTAATTAAGGGGGAGTAATGAACACTTAATGGAGCCCATCAATAGGGGGGCCGGCGGGTTCACTAGAGGAGGGAGAGAGGGTTTCAATTCAAAACCTGAAATTTATTTCAGGATTTTGAATGAAAAGGGGGGAAGATTTATTTGAAATTCAATTTCAAATTAAGGGGGTCATTAATGCATTAATTGAAAAATTAAAAGGAGGGGCCATGCATGGCCGGCGGCATGTGGAGAGGGGGAGAGGGAGAAATCAAATGGAAGGGGTTTCCAATTCGGGGTGATGATGTGGAAAATGTTAAGTGGCTCCAATTTAATATAAATTGAAATTGAAATTCGTCATGAAAACTTTCCTAAATTGGAATTCCAAATTAGGAAAGAATTTGAAATTTGAAACTTGTGTAGGGATGGGGTTGGACGGGTGGGGGAAGTCGCCGGCAAGGTGGCCGGCCGGGGCCGTGGAAGTGGTCGGCGGCGGGTTCCTCAAGGGGCGGCGGCAGCAAGGGTTTAGAAGGGATTTCTTGTGGTGGAGGGGAAGAAGATGGAGAAAACACGAATGATAAGATAGAAGAATTTAACCACGAGCCGCGGACTCTTCCAACGAATGGTGGGCCTTGCGATTTGCTCCCCTTGAGCTCTCTCCCTTCTCAAGCTCTCATGCAAGAAGTGGAAACAAAAACAATTTTCATTCAAATATTCATTACCCTATTACAATGCATGAGACCACTATATATAGGTCTTTTAATATAAAGAAATGAAAAGTACTCAAATGCCCTTCGGGCTACAATAAGACAACACTCCCCATAGGGGTAAACTAGGAAATGGAAATGCAAACTAAATAAAACATGAAATACATCAAAAGTAAAGGCTCTGAATCGTAGCCGTAGATCTGCGCTGTCTTCGGCGATACACATGCTTGAACCTCTGATCGATGTCCACATCAAATATACTTAGTGGGGTTAGTATCTACTAAAGCTAAGCTTGGCGAGTATTGATTAAGATTATTTGACCTTATACGAAGGATGGAAGAGGAACATTAAAATGATAATGAGCTAGTCAAATGTGTGATAAGAAGGAAATTTTTTTACCAAAGTTAACATGATAAGAAGAAAGAAAAAGGTTTTGGTAAACTAGTGTTGTGACCAAATGCTGTTTTAAGAATAAGTAACGGGAGACATTAAAAATAAAATAAATTAATTTTCAGGTTACTGCCCATGTTTCATTCTTATTCAGCAACTTTGTGTCTCATTCTTCAAATAAATATTTTATATCTTTAACATGCATATTCTTCAAGCACTGAAACATACCTATATACCTTTATCAGCTCATGTATTAGAGACAAACTCCATGGACAGTCATTGTATTAGACACTTAACCGCATCCACCAACTTTACCGCAGCCGTCTGCTGTATTAGATTATACTCAACCTTTCTTGTATACTCTTCCGTATTCATCGTCTTTGATCATTGTAACCGTGGGTAGACTATTTTAAAATCATTGTCATAGTGCATGCAAACTTCAGAGAAACCCTAGCGGCTAAATTGCTATAGTATTCCGCTTGTAGCTCTGTGATTGATATTTATATCCTAATTAAATAATGGAAACTTTTATCACTATATTTCCGGTCATGAAATTATTATGGTTGCAGCTTTTTGAAAGTAAAATCTACGTTGTAATGGGTTATTTTCCATTGTTTTTTTTTTGGGCGCTGTTGTGACAGTATAGGTGTGTGAATGTTTCCATATACATAAGAAGTATGTTTTTGTAGGTATCCACACTACTGCCGAGCAAATATATGGCCTACCAATGCTTTGCCTGATCTTGAATCAGGTATGTGGGCATCAGTTAGTCCATGTATATTTAAAAAATTTCAGATGATAAGACTTTAATTTGGGTCTTTATACCCCATATTGCAAAAAAAAAAAAAATGTTAAGAATGTTTAACTGTATTGTACTGTTGAACATTTATTTCATTCTGTGTTGTACTTATTTTAATAAACTTAGTGCTAGTTGTTTGTTTCTACTCAGTTATTTGGGTTGGATGCCTGTAGGATAGTATGGATTCTTAGATTTCTTATAGGATTATAAATTTTAGTGACTTTTGCATTATTGTTTGGAATGAATAAAGTATGTTTTTTGATTTATGTCAAAAAAGATGAATAATTTTGTGACCTTCACAGGCATTTTGTAAGTAGCTACTAGGTTTTGTCAAGTTTGATGGATGCTTTTTTTTTTTCTTTTTATGGTATAAATTCCATTTACTGTAGAATTTTGTATGGATTCTTAGATTATTGTAGAATTTTAAAATTTAGTGACCTTTGCATTATTGTTTGGAATGAATAAAGTATGTTTTTGATTTTATCTCCAAAAAGATGAATAATTGTGTATACTCTTGAATACCTTCACAGGCATTTTGTAGGTAGCTATTAGGTTTTTGATGAGATACTTGTCCTGAAGGAGAATTCTTTTATGGAACTCACCTAGGACTTATAGAAGGACTCATTGGAGGGGATTAACGACTTCAACTCGCCTGGGCTTGCTATGGAGCTTTCCCTACACTGGGCGAATTAGATATCCCTTGTGAAATCGTCACTTGCTGCTACCTATCTCATTGGCTATCCCTAAGAACATTCAAACTCACCCAACGCAGCTACAATAAAGTGGCTACTCAAAAGATACACTATTTGGCTACAGCCATCCGGTCTAAAACTCTTTCATTCCTACAACATCTCAATCTTCTTCTTCCTTAATGCAGCCGGAAAATTTTTACACAAGTCATTAGTAACGTGCGGCCAGTCACTAGGGGGCTCACTCGCAGATTTACCCGAAGCTAGCTCGCTGCCATCGAGCTCATCCATTAACTTTATCCTCCAATCTATCAAGAGGCGACACATGCTTAGATTAGCATGTAGTATTATATGAGTATTTTGTGTATCTTATTTATTTTTTTTTTACTTTTTCTTAGTGTAGCCTTTTTTGTGGCTCTCAGAATCTTATAAATAAGGGGGTGATGAGGAATTGTTAGGGGACCTTAGACCTTGATCTTGGACCCTTGAATTTTCTCTGATTGTGGAAACTCTGCCAATTTGATATCTTTAGTCTTCTTCTTTGCTCTCTCTTCTCTCTCTACACTCTCCACTCCTATAAGTTCCACTCATCATGTTGGCCTCTTAGTAAGATGTGGTATCATCAACAGAAAAATTCAGATTTAACATCCTCTCAGGTGTGGTGAGCGTGGAATTGCCAAGAACAAAAAGTCAGGTCCAATTAGACAAGCAACTTCCACAAGAGACTTCAGTCAGCATAGAGAACACCAAGTCCACTACCCATTCTGATTTTCAAGAGATGGAGGAGCGGATCATAAAGACAATTCAAGATGCCCTAGGTGGCCTCCAAGGGCGAGTGTGAGTCGATAACGTCCCTGAAGGATTGATCTTCTAACTCAGTAGCTCGTCGCAGGCTCCCAAAATGGGCACTAACTTGACTTATATTTCCAACCACACTTGCACGTGGATGAGAGATGAAGATTACTGCACGCCAACCAAGCGAAACAAAAGAGAAGAGCCTGAACTTACCAATGCCATTTTTACAGCGATTGCTGAGGTGAGGCTGGTTCCCAGTTCAAAGTATCTCACCTGGAGTCCTACAAAAGCAAGATAAACCCACTAATAATGTGGCTACTTTTGAGTTCGTGACTTTTTTGCTAGATCTGAATGTTGCTTTTAAGTGTCGGCTTTTCTCTACTAAACTTAAAGAATTAGCGTTAAAGTGGTTCACTCACCTTCCTCTGAGAGTGATCTCCTTTGTTGCATTCAAACTGATGTTTGTAAAACAATTTGCAAGCGTCCAGAAGAATAGATTACAACTCGCATGTTAGAGAAAAGGCCTTCCAACATGGTGACCTCGTTCTGAAGATGGCATACATTACTGCTTGCCACTTGGCACTTGACAAACTGAAGAGAACATGGGATGCCCCATATATTATCAAAGAACAAATTGTTCCAAGCACATAACAACTGCAGACTCACTCTGGAAGTCACCAGGACATGGAGTGCTAACAACCTCTAGATTTTCTTCCTGTAAAGGGAAGTTTCCATGATTATTTTATTTGTACTCATACTTATTTTCCTAAAAGGTGCAATAAAATCATATTTACTTCTCTATTTTTCATATTTTCATGTATGAGTGTGTCTTTCACAAAATGAGTTTAACACTTGATAAAATTCCATTAAAAAGTAATCAGTGAACTGCCCGACTCAAAAAAATAGCGCTTGTAGGTCTTGCACTTCCTTGACGGTTAAAATGAAAGGATTCGCTTGTGCAAGATAGTCGCCCAATTGCTTGAGGAACTCACATCTCCAAGGCAAAGCGCCATGGGTGACTCTCTTTAGGCGACCCCTTAATAAAATCAAAGGCAAGAACTCGTTAAGGCTGTGGGCTCCGAAAATTCGGTTCCGGTCTCCGCCCGCTTTGATGCTTTTTCTTTGGGGGAAGTTTTAACAGAATTAAGTTCCAGGGTAAGTTTTGGGAAGACAGATGGGTTTGTAGATAATACACTACCCAGAGATTTCTCCCTCATTTTGTGAGGACTTTATGATATGAGTTTTGATTTTCTATAGGTTTAAGTCCCTATAGTTAATTACCCCTCCCAATAACGAGAGAGAACTTTCGATTAAGTCTAGTCATCTATCAGATACGTAAAGTTACGTGTTATCTGACATATAGTAGCAGCATGGGTTTGGGATGTTGGAAAATGGTTGGGAATTGAAGAGTTTGTAGGTTTGATATTAAAATAGAAAATTTTCACCATCTTGTACTTAAAGCGGATGGTGGGGGAATAGATGATGGACCCAATCAAGATCCCATGGTTCCGTCATCTTGGGCCATCATGGTCTCTGGTCTACTTAGTTAAAGGAGGTAGTCGACCCAACTTGACAGAAAGATTATTGTCGGCAACCATGGGTTGCTTCATCCAAGGGGAACCTTGTAGACCTGGGGTGGGTATTTTCTTAAGGGGACAAATTTGAATCCACCTTAGCTAACAGAGGGCTTTGTGCCCTATCGATTATATCCTATAGATTCATATCTTAAGGATTTGATACCATTAAAGAACGTATTGATATTTAATGGTGCCATTTGACGGCAAAATCACTCGGTTCAGAGGGTCCCGTATCATAACCGTTTATCATGCGGTGCCATTTGGTGCAAAACCGCTGGTTAGAGGACATGTACCACGTCTTTATTGGCATGATATTGTTTGAGAATTGATCCTTGTGATATTTTTGACTAGACATTAGCTCTATGTGAGCTGAAGTAAATTTTAATTTGTCCACCCCGACAAACTATTGCGGAGGGTGTGAATGGATTTTGTTTAAGCATTTTAATGATTAAATTTTAGATTTAAATATCTTGGATCTCAGATGATTTTTGGAAATTTGAATTTTGGATATTTTGATGTCATTTTGAATTATTTGGAATAGACCCCTCCGGTTGAGATTTGCATTCAACTCGATCATCATTGGAGTGACGTTAAAGTCACTTATATTTTCGTAGGAATTTGGATTTTTGTGGAAGTTTGGAAGCATTTGAAATTGTTTGTGAATCCCTTTGGTTGAGATAAACATTAAACACGACGATCATCGAGGTGTAAGTGGTTATTTCCATTTGAAAATATTTGCTTTTTATTGGTGAACCTTATCAACTCTGTCGTTCCATCGACAGAGGATCAGGTTTTTCATAGGCTTTAAGCCATTACTAGTGAATTCTCATTATTATAGGCCTTAAAGACTTAATATGAATGTATTAAGACAAATATACATGTTGCCGCAACCGTATATTTGTTCGATGGTTCGAACCCTATCGACTCCCATTGATCCGCATAGAATGATCGGGTTCGAACTTGAATTCACTTATCGACCCACACAGCATCCTTAGACGCCACGTGTGTACTTATACCATGCTCGTCGGGGCCTATGCGGATGTTTGAGGGCATTTTATAGTTATTTATCAAACATTGTCAACTCTTATTTACCTGCTTAGGAGGATTAGGTTCAAATTTAATAACCCGTGCAGCATTCCTAGACATCACGTGTGTACCAATAACATGCTCGCCGGGGCTCATGTGGGTTAATGATTGTATTTACCCTTTTAGTGTACCTATGTGAATAAATATTACTGTGCATGTGCAAGAGTATTTTGGAAATTCAACGGGTCTTCTATAGTAACTTGTAGAAGCTCGTGCTTGGCATAGACCTTATGTATTTGCCCATTTTGTACAGGTAGACTGTCGTGCACTACTTGTTATTTTCTGCAAATGGATTATAGTGCACTAACGAATCTCTTGCTTTTATAGGGGATTGATGTGTCTTCATGGAATTGAACTGTGACGAAATTGCTCTCCTTTCATTCCTATCTTTTGACAAAGTCATCAGGCGCGTGTTATATTTGTTACAAATCCACCACCCTTGCCTGCAAATAGATGAATGAGCTCATTTATGAAATTAGGTTGACTGTTGAATGGGTTGCATTCATTTTTGATATCCTTTCCACACATTCATCAATCATCTTATCATATTCATTGCGTGTTGACATTTGAGATTCGTAGGCGATTATAGTGTTCCTTTTCGAGTCAACTGTCATTGACTGTTTGCAATCAAACTGTATATCCCTTCTTAATTTTCATTGCCTGAGATGTTGGATGCCTTTATTTGTGTCTTGATGTCGATCATCTTCATTGGTAAGGGTACAGTGTATTTGTTTACAAGTTAAAATTGCCCATGTGAGGAATTATTATTTCTGTCATATGCTTCCACCCATGTTCTTTGGGAGTTCACTGCATTCACAATCGTCCATTGGTTGTTGTCCCTTGCATGTGAGGAGTCTCTTATCTATTCATTGCTACTTGTATTTGGATTAATATGCCGGTACATTCAATAATTAGTTAAAACTTTTATATTGTTGATTGCAAACATACCATGTCCCAATTTCTTGATTGTGTATAGGCACTTGTATTTTTGCACATGCATGTTGTTCTTCGTAAGAAAATCAACATTTGAGCTAACATGGTGATTCTTCAATGTTGATTAAAAATCTCGCATCATTGATTTCAATCGTATGGTTGTGCTTTCATCTGACTATTCCATGTGAGCAAATGATGCTATGGCTTACAAACCTTTCATTGTCTTTGGACACAACTTGTAGTTTGCAAGGGATTATGTGTGGATGATAGTTTCACTATGCACCTTATGTCGATTGCTTTGCACCAATCATCTTCAATTTCTTAGTAACATGATTGAGATATATTGCTTGTATTCATGGCTTGCTTCATTTTTTCTCAATCTATTGCTATTTAGGAGTGGGTTATACTCTATATAGCAAACCAACTATCATACTCCAAAGTTCTCATATGATGACTTTGTAATCAAGCCATGCCTTTCACAATTTCCTTTTGTATGATTATCGATACATTCATTTCACTTGAGATGATTGTCATTCATTTGTCCTTTCATCTTCATAAACATGTTACAAGAGAGTTGTTTGTTCAAATAATTCAAATTCAACATGGTACCGTTCAGTTCATGTTCATGTCTTTTGCAATTCGAGTTCGATTCAAATTCAGGCTCCTTTGATCACTCAAGTCAAGAACAAAGTATAAGTTTCAAGTTCTAGTAATCTTTAAGTTTGAGTTCACTTAAATCATTTTCATTAAATCAAGTTCAAGTTGAGTTCATTTTCATTTTGTCGTTGGTTCAAATTTAAGTTCAATATTAGTTCAAGTTCGATTAGTCCATTGCTTGATTCAAATCAAGTCCAAGTTCATAAGTCCTTGCAAATTCTTTGTGCTCAATCAAGTCCAAGTACAATCTAACGTTCACCTGAAATTTCGGCAGCCTCCCAGCATCTTCCCAGTTTAGGGGCAAACTACGGGAAACTGAGCCTTCCCACCACGCTAAGAAACTGAGCCTTCCCACCACGCGGCTGTATTTTTTTCGTCCCCCACCACGCTAAGAAAAGCGTGTAGGGGTCTATGGCATGGTTTAAAATTGCGCAATATAAGGCTCGCCTTGAGGCCTGCCTTTGCGCAATTCCAGTAAAAAACGCCTCGATGCTTACGCCTTGAGTCATTTTTATGAGGCTTGCGCCTCAACTTGGTTGAGGCTCGCCTTGAGGCCCACCTTGCCTCACTGGCTTGAGGCTTACGCCTCACACTATATATATTAAAACTTACATAAATTTTGAAGTAAATGCCCGACATTGGACTCTATAGGAGAGGAGGAAGGGGATAGAGCAGTTCATCATAAGGATGATCCCTTAGTGATGACAGTATTGATGACTTATGAGTTCTTATGTGATATGTCATTACTATTTAATATTTATTTTTGAAAATTGGAATTATATGTTAATGTAAAGAATATCGGGATTTGGGAAAGATAGAATTTTGAGTTGAACTATATTTCATGTTGTCTTATTATTGGGATATTTTGATTTCACTTTATATCTTATGCTTTTTTATATCTTATATTATTCACTCATTAGTATATAAAAAATTTATCATTTTCTGTTTACGCAATCTTTTGATTTTGAGGCTTACGCCTTAAAATGTCTTGAGGCTTACGCCTCGCCTCACGAATGAAAAACGCCTCAATACCCGAATACGTAATTTTAAACATTGGTCTATGGTACCTATTGCAAAAGAAAAACAGTTGTTTTCCCGCAAGCGGGTACTTATGGGTATCCCCACTTCGCCGTACGCATCGCACAGCGTTCCTATCCCACCACACTAAGAAAAACGTGTATAGGTGGTTTTCCGGTGCGCCATGAACTCCGAAGAATGGATTTTAGGTGATCAACCGATTCGTCGAGAGCATCGCGACGAACTTCCTTCTACCACGCTAAGAAAAGTGTGTATATGTGATCATTTTGTCATGTTGCAAGCGTTGAAAGCGGGTTCTTCGAGTTTTAGGGTTTAGGAACTTATACCTTAGCATTTCGGCAGTGTAGTGGCAACGAAAAATGCACAAAGTGCATATAATTTTTTTTTTCTTTTGTACACTTTCTTTTTCTCTTTTTTTTTTTGCTCTTTTTTGTTTTGCTTTCATCATTCACACATTTTTTTTGAGAGACACACACATGTATATACACATATATACACATATATTTGAGCTCAACAATAAATAGTAATAATGAACATAATAAGCACCACTGATAAAACCACCTACTGTACTCAACATTGATGATTAAAATCGATAGTAACACTAAGCAAAAATAAACTATGGTAGAAATAAGCAAAAATAGATAGACAAAGTAAGATAAAATAATGAACAGAGAAAAGGTCTTATTGCTTGCAATTCAAGCTGAGGATTGAAAAAAATCGAGGTAGCAGGTTTTTAATTGCTCTTGGGTTGGATTAGTTAAGAGAAGGGCTGAGTTGGGCCTTTTTTTTCGATTGTAAAAGGGCCGCAGGGCTGAAGTTGTAGGCTAGTAATGGGCCTTTGCAAGTATTCTGCTTGCTGTTGGATTTAGGGTATGGGAATAAAATAATGGGCTGCCTATTGTGGATTGAATGCTCCACGTGGAGGGAAGGTGAAAACAAAAGCTGTTGTAAAAGGACTCTTTGAGGTGAAGGCCCACATGCAAGCAGATTTTCATGTGCAAGGAAGCAGTCCAGTGGAGTTAAAGGCTGCAGAAAAGGACTGAAGCCTTGCACGTGAAGAGAGAAGGGATCTGTATGTTGTGGGTATCTAGCTTTAATAAGGAGGTTTTACCATTCCAAGAAAATGTAGTTAGTTGGATTGCAGCAGGTGGAGAAACCGGTTTGAAGGTGGTGTTAACGGGTTTGAAGGAGTCTGTAGCAGGAGATGCGATTTCAGCGAGAAATTATTCTGTGTAGAATCCGATCACATAGATGTGTTCGGTTTAAAAAGTCAATTGACTTGCGTAAACCTCGTAAACCTGACCCGTCTTTCAGCTCGACCCGGGAGATAATGTTAAATTTAGTTTGGTGCTTATTTTTTCAGAATTTAAGGCGCGAATCACCGCAATATATAACGCTTAGAGCCAAAATTTTCGCAGAAAAAATGCCGATGAAGATGGAGATTGATCTGGATCTGGAGGAGGATGTTGGTTATTATGAGCAGACAATATTTTCGCAGGTCTCGGAGGAAGCCGATAACCTGGAGAATGCCGACGTCCAGGAAACAAGTGCACATGAATCAGAACACGTAGAATCAGTGCGACTGGACGAAAAGTTCAGCTTATCGGTAAACTTCGCCTTCTTCCACGTTTTCTTTATAGCAATGTTGCAATCAAATTTCTTTACATAGTCATTTTTTTGATGTAATTATTGTAGGGTACAAATATTTTAGATGTTCCCTTCTTGATGTAATTATTATCAACAATGTACGTAATGTTAAATTGTAATTAATTTTAAAAGAAGGCTCGATGTTCCCTTCTTTTATAGTATTATTGAGCTAGGGTACAATAACGAATTTGCAGTTCGATTTTTTTATTGCAAAGCTTTGTTGCGTATTAATTGCGTATGTATTGCTTATCTGTTTGATATACATTGAGTATTATGTGCGTATTGAATTGGTATACATTGCGTATTAATTGCACATATGTTGGGTTTTTATTGCGTATTGGTTGCGTATTGCTTTGCTTAATTACTGCTTATTGGTTGCGTATTGGATAATTCATTTATTGCTTATTTATCAGGATGTTTATGTTAATGAGAAAGAGGCATACGAGGCTTATCGTAAGTATGGATATAATCTTGGTTTTAGTGTTTGTAAGGATCATCACAGTTACTGGCCAAATTCCAGAAATTTAAAATCCATGGACTTTGTTTGTTCAAAAGCTGGTTTCAAGAAGTTGCATGATCTTAATATCCAAAGGAAATATCAAAGATCAGATACCCGAATTGGTTGTCCAGTTATGATTAAGTTTACAGTGGATGAAGGTGGATATTGGAAGGTGAAAAAATTTATTGAAAATCACAATCATGATTTGCCTAGGCCAGAAGACCGGCATCTTTTTAGATAATGCAGGAATATGTGTGATGAAAAAGCTTATGTTCTTAAAGTAATGATAGATGCTGGGATAAGAACCATTGATGCATTTTCCTTCCTTGCTGATGAAGTTGGAGGTGTCGAAAATATTGGATTCACAAGGAGGGATGCGTACAACTTTATTCAAAAAATAAAAAGAGAAAAGATTGAACTTGGGGACACTAATACTTTGATTGAGTTATTTAAAGAACGTCAACTTAATGATAACATGTTCTCTTGGGATGTCCAGAAGGATGAATTTGATAGATTGTTAAATTTTTTTTGGGTTGATGGGATTGGTAAGATAGATTATGACTGCTTTGGTGATGTGGTAATTTTTGATACAAGTTATAGGCTTAATAAGTATAATTTGGTATGCGCACCATTTGTCGGGGTTAACAATCATTGGCAAAACATTTTGCTTGGGATGACCTTCTTGTCCCAAGAGATAATTAAATCATTTACGTGGGTGTTTACAACTTTTGTTCGAATGATGGGTGATAAACAACCAATAACAATATATATAGATCAAGACCAGGCAATGGCTAGGGCCATAGAAGTTGCACTACCTTAAAGTCGCCATAGACTGTGCCAATGGCATATCCGTAAAAAGGCTTCATCAAAAGTATCGTGCTACATTACCAACAACAAAGTCAAAGGCCTCTTCAATAAGTGTTTGAGCAGATGTGACTCTGAGGAGGAGTTTGAGAATGCATGGGCTGAATTAATCATACAAGGGAACCTCCAAGATCATGTTTGGTTGCAGGATATTTATAGGATAAGAAATAAGTGATCAACAGCCTTCAATAAGGATTGTTTTAGCATGGACATTCTATCCACACAACGTAGCGAGTCTACTAATAATGTGTGCCATGGCATTTTTAATCCCACAAGTTCTATAACTAATTGCTTTCTGGGTTTAGAGAAGGTGATGAGGAATTGGCGTCGGAATGAACAGGATGAGGATTATAGATACAGTCATTCCGAAATAGAACCTGTAATTAAAAACTGCTCGATATTAAAGCAAGCTGCTAAATTTTATTCAAAAAAAATATATTCATTTTTTGAACAAGAATTTTTACAAGGTGTTGGTGTAATGAGTGTAGAGCTTGAGTCTAGTGATTCTTCTAAATTTTTTATCTATTACACAGAAAAAAAGGATCACTCTAATCCATGGGTTGTTGATTTTGATGCACAAAATGGTAACATCCAATGCTCCTGCAGAAAGTTTGAAACGATGGGTTTATTGTGTTCTCACTGCATAATAGTTTTGAGGCAAATGACTATTGGGAAAATCC